GGTCTTTGATTACTTTTTCATCCAGATAATACTCTAGAAAAGCTTTGTGTCATCTCTTTGTGGCTAAACTGGCTGCAGAGTCTCCTACAAGTAATCTAGTGGAAGCAGGACAGAAGAACAGATGGACTTAGATGAAAGACTAAGGATATGCTTTGAGAGTGACAGGAAAGCTCTGGAAATAGTTACATTAGTAAACAATCAAATTATTTAACAAAATGGGACCTCCTCAAGCTCTGCTCCAAGTATAATACATGAAACAATTCAGAGGACTGAATTTTCTTTTGTGGAGCTCCACCTTTGTTGTTTCCAGTTGGGGTTGCACTATGGAGACTCCTGGGACAAGTAAAGCAAACATATGTCACATGGGGCAACAGTTCTTCCATTTACCTTCACTGCTATCAGCTATTAGCATCTGATTTGTGAAAAATATATTTTCAAACCCCCAGACTCTGCCAGGTTACATCAGAAGGAACTGAAAGCAACAAGAAATGAGAAGGTAATATTTGGTAAAATACTGGTAAAAGTCCTAAAATTGACACTGTTCATGAAATGCTGAAAATCCCCTTTGTTTTCTTGGCTTTCATTCCCTCTTTATCCCTTTGAGAACAAGGGAAGTCACCAGTATGGAACCCCATAAATCACAGTAACTACCCTTTATACACTCCTTATCTGCCCACACAGTTTTATTTCTACTGTTTTATTGTAACTGTGAGAGGAAGGAAAAGTTAATACACTTAGGCAGTCATAGTTTTCACTTGAACTTGTCAATGGCAATATTATTTATAATGTTCTAGTGTCCATGGGTACACTAGATTTTTTAGTATTGCTACTACCATGGCCTTGCTTCAAGACTTTAATGTTAGTGGACACCAGTTTTTGTGCTCTCCTCCTCATTTTCTCTTGGTCTAATTAATAATGCTGAGTGGGAAGCAGCCAAAGTGGTGTCTCCTGAAGGTTTGCTTCCTCCAGGAGATGAGTTTCGGGCACTATAGATAACCAACTTTGTCATCCCACCTCATGCCCACAGTGATAGAAATTTTAGTGAAATTGTTGTGAAGGGCACAGAGACACAAAGTGCATGCTGCACTATTGGCTAGAGTGGTAAACTAGCTCAAGATATTTAAAACATATCTACATCTACACAAGGAGGCAAGAACAGGCTCCAGCCTCTCATGCTCCATGTCCAAGAGTTGAGTTAGTTATAGGTGCCACCAGGAGGAAATGAAATCACGCTGCTTGTAATAAAACAGGAATTGCTTCTGGTTCTTCCTTACCATCTCTGCTGCTGGACCCATGTGAGAGGATCTACAGATACATTAAGGCATAAAGAAGCTGTATGACAATGAGATGGGACTTGACAGTGAGACTGGAGAATACCTGAACATATGCTGGGTCCTTGCTCTCTGATCTACCATGGCCAAGCATGAGAGCCCACACAGGGCTCATAGGAGCTACCCGTGGAGCACTGGCCCTTGCTATGGCCTCTATAAAACTGCAATTGAAATATAAACTTTCACACCACACAGTGCCAAAAGCAAGGGTGAAACTACCACATAAAAGGTGAAGAGGCAACAGAAGAACCTGCAGAAACAAGAGAACAGATATCTCCACCAGAATAGGAAAGTGAAAAAAATATAGTAGGATCTGTTAAAGTTTTTATGGAAGAGATTCTAATTATTGAGGCATTACTGATTTTTGATTAAACCCACTCCCACCTACAAACATATTTATATTGGTGCCCATGGAGCTGATCAATTGCTCAGTTTCTCATTAGCAGAGCTATCCCTTCAGTCATTAGCTGTATCTTCCTTTACCTCCATCAGTCCTGAGTATTAAAATTACTAGTATTGTAGAATACAGAAAATGAAAAGCACAGATCTGATGTGTAAGACAATATTAATAGATTAGGCAGCAAGAGTTTTATTTATGTTTCTGGAGGTTTTAATGGATAACATAATGTGCTGTTCACAGATCACCCTTCTACTGTGGGTCAGTCTCATTTAAGAAGGTGATAGATGATAACTCTTCCTATAAAAGCTGCTCCAGTAATAGTGTAATTAATGCAGTTCCTAGTTCAGATAAAACCTTCCAAAACAGCTCATATCAACTTTTTCAGTAAATGTAAATAAAGGTTCATACATGTTTCCTGTTTATTTTTGTTTAAATGTCCCTGAACCTTGTCCATTTCTCCTTTGTTTCTTGCATGACCACCTGGGCTCGCATCTTTTGCTTCTATCATTTCAGATCCACATAAATCCGACGGAAACAGAGACAGAGGGAGAGAGAAAATTATATAACCAGAAAACACAAAGTAAAAAAGCAAATTACGATTATCAAAGACTTACCATTTTATGTAAGCAGAATGATCATCAAAGGATTTAACTCTGCAGTAAACTATATGGGAGTAAGGATGGAGTATGGACTCTCCTCATGTAAATGATGCTTTGTATTGTCTCACATCTTTTCTGTCTGGATCACAGGGAGAATGTTCTATCTTGGTGTTAGGGAAGAATTTCCTCTCTTGCTCCTCCTGACTTTTCTCTTTGTTATTTAACAGACCCTTCTTTCTTCTTTCAAAATTATATGGACTTGTTGATATCCTCATAAATTATGTATCACTGAAAGTATTTTCCCATGGCATTGCATATTTAAAATCTATTGTGAAACTTTAGGAAGGAAAAAAAATGCAGGAACTATTGGGGTGGAAACATATTTATTACTTTGAAGAATAAATACCACCAACCTAATCTCTGTATATGCCTGTTACATGAGTGATATCTGTGACTGTTTGAAATTCCTTCCACGCACTTCAGTATTTCTGTATATACTGAAGGTGAGAGCCACACATGTGAGTCTGTTAAGCTCAGAAGATGTACAGGTGGAAAGTAGATAAATGCAGCAAACTACTGGAAATCAGAAGCAGTAATCTTCAAATGGGCTTATTAAAACAGAGTGTGCAGTAGGGATAGAAATAACCCAACCTATAAAGCCTTCATTTGCTCTGTTAATAGGCATCAACATAAAAGTATTATAGGAACTTTTAATTTTTTAAACATTTTAATCATCAATCCTTTAAGTCTTCTTATGAAGATTTTGTGTAATTTCATCACATGCTAAAAACTTGCTTCTGTCCATTTTCTTTTCCCAATCATGTATTTACTAGTTTATTATGTTGCCAAAATAGCAGAGTACACTTTCTAGTAATGTTGGGAGACTTTGAATCTATTAACAAGGCACTTCACCTCCTTTTTTTAATTAATTTTTTAAGGAAGGGAAATCTAGTATGTGAGGCAAGAGTGTACCCTCATTCCATACTTGACAGAAGAATAAAAATGAGAGACCACAGATCTTTTGGTCCCAAGTTTTGTACCTTGCCTCTAGACAGCATTTCGCTGCTGAGTCAAAGACATGCAAATTTTGATTGGAAGAAAGCTCTAAACAAGGGTTTTGCTCATCAAAGCATCTGCTTAGCCAATAGTTGCAGCCAGGTTTGCTAACACAGCTGTATTTGTTAATACCAGGGGAAGGACACTGCTTGGGTAATTTCCATGACTATATTCAGCACTAAGGCTCCTCTTAATATTCTGGCCAGAGACCTGAAAGCTGACTGCATACATAAACCTCTGCACGACTCTGGGGCTCCACAGCCTCCAAAGGTAACAACTGATGTCACTTTTTACACTGTCTGTTGCCACAGCAATGGAGGTCGGGTTTTCATCAGGTGATGCTCAGTGGGCCAGTATCTGTTCTGTGGCTACGTGGCTCTACTGGAGCCTCTGAGAGCTTTGTCACTGACTTCACTGGCGTCAACATTCCACTCCAAACAAAGATATCTAGACCAATGACACTAGATACAGTTTTTTAAAGAAATCTTAGAGCATGACTGCTTCCTGTGGCCTCAACTTTTAGTTTAAAGCACTTCAGAAATCTACTTCTGTTGTCAGAAAGTATCATTCTTAACCCTGAGGTAAGGATTTTACTTCAATTTAGGTGCCTGATATCATCTGCCAGCTTTTTATCTTCAAATATCAAGAGTATTTTCATTGCATCTCTTGCACAGGCTATGTGCGTATGATGCTATGCAATGAGGAGAAACAAAATGTGTGATTTTTAAATTACTCTTCTGCTCTTCTATTTTTTAATCTCCAGATGGTCCTTGAGACTGGTGATATCTTCTTTAGGCTACATATTTCCTGCTTCAATTAGCTTACTTAACCAGAACACATCTGAGAGACACATACATGATCAGATAGTATCAGGTGCTAATGTTCAACTGCTTTCATGAAATTTGAAGAAGATAAATGATTGAATCATAATTGAATGACCTTATTAGAAGACAAGCTGATCAGTGTTAATATGAAACTTGAGATTCCCACGTTTGCTCTAATTTCACATTGGCTGGGTCTGCTGAAAGGACAGCGAGCACAATGTGTTAGGGAGCAAGATCAGAGCTGGGTGACTGAGATCTGCCATAAATATTTATCAGCTGGCATATTTATCAGAGGGGCTGGCACAATTTGTATCACTACCTAAGAGCAGTGAAGGAAACTAATGCTTTGATTTACCACCTCCCAAGAAAAAAAAATGCAGCATACAGATCTTTATGTGTGTTATTTTGAGAAAAGCCCTATCTCTCTCCATCCTGTCCCTCCACAGCATGTGTGCATGTGAGGAAGGACAGGTGGTCACTAAGGGCATCTGTCCCTCCAGGGGCTTTGTCGGGAAGCATCAGGTAGTTACTGCGAGAGCAGTGGGGATCTGACACATATTTGTAAGGATGGGCAGGCTGGAGCAAATCTGGGGCTTGTTCCAAATTCAAAGATTTTTATTGCTTGGTGAAAGATCTGAGCCAGGTTGAGTGAAATTCTCAGAATGCGCACCCTCCGTGTGTGTTTCACCAGATGGATATCGTTAACTGATGAATGGGGATCCTTTGCTTTGGCCTGGCCATAGTGATTTTACTTGGGTGTTAAGATGGAGAGGAGTCATGCAGTACTTACGGGATCCCTTTTTACAAGGCCCGGGTTAGGGACAACAGCAATGAGGTGGGCAATTGTAAACATGGAGTTCAGCACATATGAAAAAAACAAATTCTTATGCAGTGTTATCCTTTGACAGCTGAGGCTCCTGAAAAATATGTAGCACATGTCGTAAATTAGTATTTTTCTTCTGATGTCACTTTAACAAGCTCTTTCTGGCAACAGTCTCTCAAGAATGCCTTTTGGCAAGGCATAATTGGAAAATACATGCCTTGCATTGCAACCATAACCTCTGACAAATTTTTGGGTTTGTTTTTACACCTGTTTAGCACCACATGCTTTTCAGACCATGTTGTAAAGAGCTATCCGGCTACATTCTCAGCCCTTGATGCCTTTCTTTATTTATGGTAATCAAGCTATTAAGCAGTGAAGCAGAACCCTGAGAATTATTAGATGCGCATGATACAAGTAATGAACATCAGAAATACTGCTTTATAAGTAACTGTTCCAATTTCTCAAATACTCAGATGAAGATTATTTTCTGCTTTCGGAATTAGTGGTGAGACAGGATGGGAAATTTGGGCAGGAATCTCCTTAAATTACAGGGGGATTTGGGTTGATATCCTGCATGTTTCTAACTCCAGCTGAGATCTCAAACCAGAGGAGGTTGTTTTCCTGCTCAGAAGGAGCAGAAATCTTTTGAAATGACTGATTTTGGGGAGGATAGGATTTATGCTGTTGTGGGTAGCAGAATTTCACAAGAGAAGGTTGCAGAATTCTTGTGAAACCAAGTCATGACTGCAGTTTCAGTCCTGAACCATCTCCCTTTCTAATTCATGCCCAAAACCTCATGTCACCTCCTCAGATACCCCTGAGGCAGAGAAGGTGGCCCCTGCAGTGCTCCATGCCCCAGAGCACAGTGCCAGGCTGACAGAGGGTGATTGCAGAAAGGCAATCACAGAGCTGCTAGATAATGCTGTGATGTCTGTATTCAGAGATCACTGAGAGTAAGCAGGCAAAACTGCTAGGTAAAAACCAGAAGTACTGCTGTCTTGCTAAGGCAAGCTTCCCACTCAGAACTAGGAGTCTTTTGCAGTCTTTTGCCATCTGGCACGGAACACATGATTCTCTGCATGTAGCGGTCAATGCAGAATGCACTTTCCTTTAAAACAGAGGGCTAATCTAACCAACTGAACCCTTTTCTGCTTATTTTGCTTGTTTACTTAGTTATTTTTCTTTTTTTAGCTCCTCATTTACCTGCCACTTATTCTTCATTCTCCTTACACCTATTTTCTGAGTCATTGCATGGAATTCTTCCTTTAGCTTTAGGTCCTCTTTCTCGTTATGGTTATGATCATTCTGCAGTGTTCACTACATTTCTTGACCTCCTTATTTACCAAGACATTTTTTTTGGTTCAGGATGTCCATGAGATGCAGGTCCTGGTGGATAGGAATGAGAGTATCTCTTTACACTTGCCCTGATTTTATGACATTCCATTAGCATCAGCTAATGGCAAATGCTGAGCACCAGATATGGGGCCAGGTGCACTTTCAGTTTGGTTCACTGTAGAACAGGATATTGTGCAAAACAGAGTATTCTTTGGAGCTATTTTTTGCTATACTATGTTCTTGTGCTTACTCCACCTGTATTTGCAAATCTCATCTGACGTTCCTTTTCTTCTCCTAAGCTCTGGTGAAATTTATTCAGTCCTGAGTCCTTCTCCCCATTCTCCATCACTACACTTTGCCTATGCTACTTAATCCCACTTTTCCTGGGACACTATGACATGGTCATCACTTTCTGCCTTTCTCTGGCAGCCCTGAGAACAGGATTGGTGTGACGTCAATCCCCTTCCCAAGAAATAAAAATTTCCCTGTTACTGGGAGCAGTTTTTTCAGCTCCTGGCCACAGACATGCAGATCCTTGTCTCTCCAGCTGCCTTTCTACATGGCTACAGATACAGACAGTCTTTTGTGATAATCTCAGCCAGGTCCATGTGCCTCCACTCCCATTCCTGTCCTTCCTCATTGCTTTGCTTGACTTTTGTCAGTCTTATTTATCTATTAAATTGGACTGTCCTTCTCTGCATATTGCCGTTGTCTGCTCTCCAACCTCCTTTCCCTGCCTGCCTTCCTCTCTTAGTTTTACTCTTTCCTCCTTTCCTCTCAGTATTTCCTGTCCTTTTTTCTTGATGCCAGCTTTCATGTTAAAGACACATCTGGATTATTAAATGTATGTTTCCATACCCTCACTTTCTAATTTGACCTTCAGTGCTTGCCATTATAATGGCATCAGCACCTGCCTGACTCAGTCCACACCAACAGGAGAACATTGTAGCAAAACCCAAATCCTTACTTCATTCATCCTTTCTGATGGTTTTGACAATCATCTGCAATCTCCTCCTTCTCTGACCTCTCTTAGTTCTCTTCCTGGCTCTCTTCCTGTTCTTAATCATTCCTTTGCAGTGTTTTTGAAGGCTCCTTGGCACTGCCTACACCATCTTTCTGTATGCTCCTTACTCTGTTTCATTAATCAGTATGCAAGAAGGCACAACTAAGCTAGTTATCTGTATCTAAAACTTGTGAGTTTTTTGTGTCTCTGTGCTTCTATCTATTGTCTCTTTAGAATTTCAGAGTCTCCTATGTTTTTCATGGCTTCCCTTTGTTTCATATTAATTCTGTCTCCTATATGTCCTTTGACAGAGGTAGGTTCTCTTACCTACTCCCAGTCACCCTTACTTTTGAGTTCCAATCTCCACTTCTCTATTACAACTCAGATATTTTGACTTTTCTTCATAGAACTGTCCTGTGAATCTTTAATTTCTTCTCATTCATGAATACTGAGAATACCAATTTTCACCCCAGACACTTATTTTCCATCTTCTAATCCCTTGTTTACTTTCCAAATTATTTTCATGCTTTGTACCATGTTCTCCCTTACCCCTGAGGAAAACTCCCAACAAATTTCCACAGATTATCCTTCCACCCATTATCCTTTTCCAACTTCTTTTAAAAGCCTTGGTAACAATTAACTGCAGGTGTATTCATAACACACCATCTATTATTCTGGCAAATCTAGACTTCTTGTACTCCCCATCTGTCTTTGTACAAATGCCTTTGTTTTACTAATTCAACTGGAAGTGATTTGGAGCTAAGACTCCCTCTTTTCTTTTGTGTTTTATCAAATAACATAATGAGGTCTCAGTTTGCAAGTACAGAAATATTGCAATAATGTGGTGATACATGTAGCTATTAGACACTCTATTTTATGAATACTCTGTCTCCTGTTATGAGTTAGTATTGCTTAGTGATGCTCATCACTACTGTTTCAGTATTGCCTTCTGAAAGCACTGCAACATCTGTAATGGCAGATCACTATGGATCTTGACGTCCCAAACTGAAATGAAAATAAATCTCTGCCAGGGAAACAGCAATCCCTGCAAGCTGTTCATTGCTGCCTCTACAGTCAAAGGTTATTATACAGTCCTGAAATCATCTCTTGCTATCTGATTGACTGTCTGATTGACAGTTTCCCTTCTATTGAAGGTCAAATAATCTACTGCTGTCGTAGCCAGATGTTAGAAAACAGCTGGAGGTAACATGAGCTGTGCTCCCATGCAGCTTCATTCTCACTTTCTTATGATCGTAGCTTGGTCTCCTCTTTGTCTCTCATTTTGAAGCACTTTGTTTTAATTCCTTTCTCTACTTCTTCCTGTAACCTTTGTGTCATGGATTAGTCATGGAAGGGGAAGGAGAAGTGGAGGAGGAAAGAGAGGAGGAGGAGGTGTGTTACTGTTTGGAAGGCTGCTGCAAAGACTAGTCTTTTCACAAAGCCTGGGACTCATCAGGATCTTGCGTTGTCCATGACTCAGAGCTAAGAGTGAGTCAGACAGGCTGACCCTGCCTCATTTGCCACAAGAAATCACCTTTCTGGTCCATTTAGGGCACCTTATTTGACCAGATTCTGTCTTTACTGTCCCAAAGAACTCATGCCAGGTTATAGGGTTCCAAATCCGATTAAATTGTGCTCTTTCCAGTTTCATCAAAGCTATGGTTTTGTGCTCTTTATCTACTTAGATGGGAAGGGAATTCATCAGTTCATTGGGCAGAGTTTCTAGCTACCTCTGTATCTGATTAAGGCATGTTATCACAGGTACTCATAAAATTGCCTCTCTGGAAATAACCAGAATTTACAACCTGTATTTTGGATCCACCTGTTTTGAGTTTGCGATCTTACAGACTCTTATAGTCTATGAAAAGTCCAACCATTTAATTTTCCTATGTTTCCTAGACTTATTCTTGGTGGTGGTGCTGTTGGGAGAGGTTCACCAAAGACCAAGATTTAAATGCTCCAGTGAAACTGCCATGCAGTAGCTGCAATGCTTTCAGTAAGTATCAGTTTAGTCTCTTTTAAAGTTCTGATACAGCACATCACTGTTTTTCCTTTCAATGATGATGGCAGGCTGCACAGTACTGTCAGATTCACTCTTAGGGCTGAGTCCTCTTAGAACCTACTCAGGTCAATAGCTTAGTCCTTCAGTGTCATATGGAGGTATTTCTGTTCTTCAGGAGCTTGGGGCTTCAAGCCACTGCCCCGTGCAGTCACTGCACCTGACAAGGTCTGCACATGCTTTTCAAGGAACAACAGGCAAATGAAAGGCCTTACTCCATCCCCAGTTACACCACTTCCCTGTGGGCTGCTCTTTTACACCAGTCTTGACAAACATAACAGCATAATCTTGGCTACACAACACTGGGAGATGTCCCATTGGAGAGAGGACCCTGTGCTGAGATTTCTTTACCAGCATTATCTAGAAAGGCACTCAGAAGAGCTGCTTCTCACTGCCATGTCCCCTTCCAAGCCTTTCTTTGGTTACCACTTGATATCCCTCAGGAAGGAAGAATGTCTGCAAAAAACACTTACTTGAAATAGAAGAAAATTGCCAAGGAAATCAACAGGGATGTTATAGACAAAGCATGGCCAACGATCGCCATATAATAAAGTATGAACGCCATCTGCAATTTAACAAAATGAAAAGGCAAACATGAACAATTTGCAGGCACTTGGTGTTTTTTTCTCACTAAGGAAGAATCTAAAAAATCGATCTCCCATTTTGCATTTTTCTTTCAAGCATTCTTTTTCTATATATTGTTAATGTCAGCAATCTATTAAATGGAATGACTCACAGTCTAATGGTAAGTGCTTCTTACACGTGTTGATCCGTTCCTGTTACACTGCAGGAACTGGTGAGATCTCTGCTCACACTGTGTGTCACTAACTTTCCAAGCTCTAGGAGACCACAGCAGACATAATACATTCAGATTTCCAATACACCCAGGACAAGTATTGCAAAAAGAGCTATTGAAGAGAATAGCTTGCTCCAGGATTGGTAGAAGGCTTTTATGGGTTGAAAGCAACTTAAACAACAGGGATCAAAAGCTTAATGGTCACTTTTTAGAGATGAGTCAGTAGTTAACTGTCCTCAGGACTCCTGTTAGGACTGGGTTTTTGTTCAACATATTCATCAGTGATCTGATGCAGAGAAACATCTAAGTTTCCAGGTATTACTTAGGTCTTCCAGATAACAGTGAGGAATTCAGGGCCTTAGTTCCTCTGCTGAGCTTATTTTCTTTTCAGCTCTACTTTATTTGTTTTCTTTCGCTATGCATGAGCATTTTCCCTCTTTTCAGTGAGTAGAGGAATTGCTTTTAGCAATTCAGCCCTAAGTTTTGCTATTCGCTTTCTTTTTTTCTGGTGTTTCCAAGTAATTTCAAACTTCGCCTTGAGAACAAATATGAAAACAATTCAGAAAATTAAGGCATTCCTTTTAGTAAAGGTGCACATCTTCTTACATAGTTTGATCTTCAGTCATTTTACAACTTTGGAATAAGCTTCTACTTTCATTGACCTAGGTGGTGGTGGCCTGAGTCAGATTTAAACCAAAGTCACATTTACACTGGTCTGACCACGTAGAAGTGACATACAGAGAACTATGCATATTAACTGCAAATACCCTAGGTCTCCTAGTTTTTCTTCACAAAGACTAGCCACTACATTGTTAGTGAGTGCAAATGCTTGACAACTTATTCTGGGAGCACCAGCAATCCCAGAGAGGGCAGACCCGAGTGTAGAGAAGATGAGACAACTTTCTGAATACAGAGTAATGGGAGAGGTTTTTACCTGTGTGCATGTGACATTTCTTCCACTACATACTGTATGGTTGCTGTGTTTTTTCATGACATTAAATGGATATATTCTTAAAGCCTGAATTTAATTTACAGATGACCTGTTCAAAAGTACTGTTTTCCTGCCTATCCTGTATACAACCCTTAGGCTGAAACAGAAGTAGGAAAGGCCCCCAGATAGCTACGTGCAACTCTGTGTCACCCCAGAGGACTCTTGGTTATTCAATCTATCTAACTTTCAGCTTACAACTGCTAAATCAACTCTGTATCTGGGACCCAGAACTGCATTTTTGATTACTCCATGTAAACTTACTACGCCAACTGCTTAAAAAAGCTTTCAAAAATAGCAATGATGGCAGATCAGAATGGGCTAAACTGTCAGCTAATAAAGTATATGGTTTAACATTACATTTTTAAACACTGACCACAATTTTTATTTTTATTAAATAAGCTGTCTCAAAAGTATAGCATGTTGTTATTTTCAGTTAACTTCAAACAAATAATGAACTATTTTACTAATTTTGCACTCCTTGAACTAGCAACCTGTCATGTCCCTTTTGACACACAGGACTTATAACCTACTGACACACAAAATTTTTAGTTTATTCAGATTTTTCATGCTGTTATTTTTTTGTTCCCATAGAATTCTTCCCTTGAGGCAAGAGAATTCTCTAAGAGTAATACTTTCTACCGAGCTAATTATATTATGTATAGGTATATGGAAATAGTCTACAAATTAAGTGCACTCCTGTTTTTTGAGGATTTGTATTAAAGGTCATAACCTAACTTGGCATTTCTGTGGAGATAAATTCTTTCTGCGTTTTCCATCATTTTTCATTTCTGAAGAATCATGATGGGCGTATAATTTTCCTCTCTGTTCTATGTGCTCTTTGCTTGAATGATGTTCAAAATTGTTCTTCTAGAAGACACGGATAATAGGTAACAGAAGTAACAGAACTAAATTTTTTGCCTCCTTACATGTGCCAACATCTGGAAAAATTATATTTTTATGGTGCTTCCATTTAATGCCTCTGTGAGCTCATATCGTTACTATTATTCTTTCCTTGTCACACAGGTGAGCCCCATTTTACCATGATGGTTCCTCATGCTGCAAAAACCTTTAGAATTCATGTCCTGCCTAGTCCAGTAGACTTTTCCAAGGCTCTTTGGATCATTACTAAATATAACTACATACTGCTTTTTGGCTGCATAAAAAATGGTCCTCCAACACAAATCCCAAATCCAATCATGTCTTGAATCTTTTCCTTCCATGATTCCAAATAATCACAAATTATTCTGTCACACATCTGTAATCAGATTTTCCTGGAGCTCCACTCATATTTGAGAAATATGTTTATTTTCATGAGCTTCCCTAACTTGATTTTTTTTAAGCTTTTCTCAGATTTCTCTCTCTTTATTTCTTTTGGTTCTCTTATATTTAGTCCTTCTCTTTCAGCTTAGCAACTCAATTTTGGAAATATTGATGCAAATGCTTAATTCCTTATTGTAAATAGTCTGTTGACTTCTGTGAAACCGTCAAAGTTAAATGTGTTCATGCTTGTAGGTTTTTCTGGATTAATGGTACCTTCATAAATATTTATTTTGAAAGAGAGTGAGTACAGGGTAATATTCTTTGCTGAAGAAAAATAATTTTAACTTACATTAATATTACCAGCCCTGCAGAGAAGACATCAATAGCTTAGAATATTATTGTTACAGAAAGCAAAATTGGGATTCTAAAAGATTATTTTATAACTGTTGGACAATTAGGGAAAATCATAGGAATTAAAACGCATTTGAAAAATATTGCAAAACTTGTCACATGAATTGCTACTAAATGATGCACCCCATAGCAAACCTATACTTAGGTTTGAACACTCATCAAAAAAATTTAATAAGCTAAAATCACAAGAACAATGCTATTCAAATCTTGTGCAACAAATAAAGATGAAAGATAGGGCTATTCTGTTCTCTGTCACACGTCTTACTGCTAGCCCAGCCCAAAACCACTGTCAAACAACCACTGCCTCTTTAACTTCATCATACCTTTAGTTTTTCAGAGGTGAAAGAGTTGCACAGGGTGTAATTGGACCAGGTTCGGTTGCTCTCAGGATGGCGGAACCAGTTTCCAGTTTCATCACAGTATTTTGAAGCCCTCTCTGATGAAAAATTGCAATAATAGTTATTTTAATGTATGCATATTACACATTTAAAAATCTATTAAAAGGAATTACTTTATTTGGAAATAAGATGTCTGTGTAATGAAATCCAAATGGTTTTCAACCTCTGCAATTAATATACATCTTGATGGTTTGTTATTCTGGTTTTTATTCTGAGATTTATTGGTGGTACACTTGTTGTTTATCTGTCTCCTTTCGCCTTGAATGAGTATATATCTAAGCCTTCATTCAAATGCAATTATTTACGTGATAATAATCCCTTTAAAGAGGCTGTTGAAAGCTGCCTAGGGAAGAGAAAGTAACCTCAGGCGCTGATGTGTGCTGTGTCTGTGTCCCCCCAGCCATGCTCACATTCCTGCTGGGGAAACTCTGGATGCTGAGGCACAGATGTCGTTTGTAATCACCTGTCAAATTTTGGACTGGTTCCTCGAGCCTTCCCTCAAGCATTAGCCAAAAAGGAGTCATTGGAAGGTTTGCCCAAGTAACAAGGGCAGGATAAGATCATAAATTTAAACTATTTTATGTTTTCTTAGATAGTGACACAGACATTTATAAAAAACATGTTTTTCAAGTCTGGCTTTTAAAACAGTCAAAAAAGTCTACCTTGACTTTCCTTTGCCTACTCTAGCTCTATAATTTCATTGGCTTTATACTTATGTTATCAGTATTTCTAGTCAATACACTTTTACAGAGACAATTACCATTTGAACATACCTATTTTCATTTTTCTGTGGTCAACATTGCCACTTATTTTTCTTCATCTGATGACTAATAGTTCTATTAACTTGGAAGATTTGTATTCCCTCTATACAACCTAAAGAAAGGAACTGATCTTATGGGCAAGGTAAGGATTGTATAGACTGAGCTTACTCATACTCTGACTAGAAATACACTTTATACAGTGCCATTGCAGGAAAAAAAAAAGACAATCCTCCAGAACACAGCATATTTTTGAAATTGTTGTTGGTTTCAAATAATTGTTTTGGGGGAATTATTAAAAATCAATATGTGATCAACAATACCAAGAGGAACAGTACATGTTATCTGAGCCTTCCATTGCTGTGGCTTGGAGATAATCTCAGACTGCCTGTGTAGCAACGTTCCCTTTGTACTCTTTGCCAGATACTATCGAAAGCTGGAAAAAGTCTTCAGTCATAGAAAAAAGATTAATGGTTATGTTCCCATGGAACACAGTGTGCAAACATTGCAACTACTATCCCATGCACTCTGCAAAGTGCATGGCTTTTGTTAATATGCTACAGAGTATTTATGGCAATGTCATCCATCATCTCTGTACTTCAGTGCCTAGCTAGGCACTCTGACGGAGTTTAATGTGGCCTTAGAGATAAACCTTTAGTCTCATACTTTTTCTTGAAGTCAGATAAACACAACTGATCCTAGTCTGAAAGCGCCAATCCCCTGCAGATTTCTTGCTCTGCTGTCAGAATACAGAACTGGGGGATAAGCCTTCCTTACTGTCCATCCCAGGGACTCAAACATCTCAAACATCTCTTCTAAATCTATTCTTTTGCACAGAAACAAAGCTGCGAGCCTGCAACTCAACCACTGTTCTGCTCCAAGTTATTATACAGTGGGCCAGTAGCAGGAGGGTTATTATGAATCTGGGTACACTTTTGCTTTTTTATGCTAACCAGAAGAATATGGTAAAGTCTGAAGAAATATACATATGCAAGGATGGGTAAGACAACACTAGCAAGATAAAATGGAAGCATGGGCTTTAAGATTATTAAAATACTATGTAAAAGCTAATTTTTTAGGCTTTATCTGTACCCTATCAGCTTGGATAGGGCACCACTTGAGCATCACATTACTCAAAGCCAAAGAACAGTGACATTGTGTGGGATTCATCTCACCTGACTTTAGCAACCTAAAAGTTATGTAATTCATAGGCAGTTGTGCAGAATCTATGCCGTCAGCTTAGAAAGAAGACATTCCAGAGCTGTCTGGGAAAAACAGCTGATGAGAGAAATCCTGTCCAAAAGGTCAGTTTCATGGGAGCAATGAAGTGTCTTGAAAGATTAATCAGCAGCAATAATTTTGTGTGTATATTGTTTGTGCCACCAATAGTGCTTTTATGAATCCTATTTTCATAAAAAACCCTCAGTAATTCATATGTAATGAATATCTTAATAATTCTGGAACCATATGATAGCTCTATCAATCAGGCTTTTTACATTTACACCAGCTCTATAGCTAGCACGTTAAAACATCAGTTTTTTATTTATTGCTGAGTTATAAGCTGGAAGTAGAACAAAGTTATCCACTGCTGCAGTGCTTGCTCAGCTCATATCAGATGTTGGATTCTTTGCCATTTGGATAGACCTGTGCAGTGCTTATTTTTGCAGATGAGGGAATAGTTGATGTAGCACATCTGATTTACTTACATACTCAGTAAAATATTCTGGAAGAAATTTTTTCATAAATAAAAAAATCATCCTTTATAATGCAATGGAGAACCTAGAAAATTTCAATTCCAGTGTCCTAATAAGTGAAGAGTTATCACTATCTTCAGAGTGTCTTAGTCAGCAGAACCAGAATTGGTATAAAAGAATCATATTGTGCACTGTGGGGATAAGAATTGATTTTTATAATACAGCTGTCAAACTTGCTAAGAAGCAGGACAGAAAGACACAGAAGGAGAAAAAAGCAGCTGGACAAAGAGTTGTTCAGATTTGTCTTACTTATCGTTATCTAAGTAAGATAACGATAGACAAGAAAAGACAAGAAAATATGACCAGCAGAAATCCAGAGCTGTCTATTTTAGTCAGTCATGAAATTTGCATTTTGTGGCACCAAGAGAAGGGCTCTCCCACTGTCAGAGCAGGAAGGTAAGGCTGTACTTCCATCTTCCTCGACTGTGAGAGGTAACAATATATTAATCATCAACTGAGTAATTGCTTATGGATACATATGAGTCTGTTTCCAAATTACACTCCTAGAAACTCTGCTCCTGGAGCTTCATGAAGAGTCATGAGTAACAGTTTACAAAAGAGAACTAAAGACAGAAACCCAAATGAGTGGAGAACTGAGGGGAATTTTGCTAAATGCAGCTTCCTCTCACAAAGGCTACTGCTCTTAAGCACTGCTCTTTGCCAAGAATAAAGGGAGTGAAAATGAAACGAAAAGGTATATGTGCCACACCAAAACTTGCACATTCAGCTCCATCGGTATGTGACTGCACCAAACTAATCCTAACTAAATGCACTGTATAAGGACAGAGAGGTGGGCAATATAACACTCCCCTGACACAATCCCAACAGCCCACATATGACACAGGGCAATGCTCATCTCCTCCTGTTGCCCCTGGCAAACCTGTCTTGCTAGAAGGCCATTATGTCCACAATATATTTTCCTTTTTTCCATCAGTAAGAATACTGGCAGCATGAATTACATACTACATTCCTATAAAACTCAACTCTTACCAATTTCAGTGTGACCTGGAACCATTTCAGAGGGATTACACCAAAGATTAACCTGTCTAAAATATGAATATAAAATACAATTCAAGAGGAACTGTGCATGTTGCCTGAATAGGGGCATATGAAACATCCCTGCTCAGAGCTTCACAGTCAGGAGTGGACTAGACAATGAATTTCCTGCTGTCACTGGCATGAAAGCAGTAGGTCTTGTTATGTTTTCCAGACAAATTGATTTGTTTTCATGCATTATCACATTGTGCATGATGTTCACTGCGAGGAGATTGCTTCTTTCAGAACACAGATTCCTATCCAGTAAGAACAGATCTAAATTCAGTGTAATAAGTGCAGTAGCTAACTGTGAAGTTGTCAGATAAAAAATGAAGAGACCACTGAGATTGTTCCCCTTTGTTTTGTTTCTGTGTTCTTTTCTTCAGAATATGATTTCACCTTGTTTACTTTCTAACATACTCTAGTGATTTCCTCTTGGCAACAACGCTGAATATTGTTGGGGATCAAATACAGAGTTGGTATATGGGATGCACAGATGCAGACGGGAGGAGGATTCATTACTATGCTGCCGTTTATGTTTCACTTTTCCAATTACAAATGACATAAGTATCAAAAGGGAAAAATATATCTGAAAGACATCATTTTATTCCAGGACTCGAAGCTATACATGGCCTCTAATGAAGTGACTTAGCCATCAATATGCTAATATGCAGTGGTTCTGCAGCTCTTGGTGCTGGCCAAAGCAGCACAGTATTAAATACTTGTTTTGGAAATCCATGGGGTTACTTACATGCCTAAAATATATGCTGAGGTGGTTGCATATCAGAACCTCAATGGGGAGGAAATCTGACATCACTACAGTTTTCATCGTGGGAAAATGTTATTCTTCAGGATGAATTTTCTGTTTCTCAGTGGAAAATGCAACTGTATTTTCTTTAACAGGAATAAGTTACCAAAGGAAATAATGACTTGTGACACAAAATCTGACAGACTTCTCAGGACAGCTCAGTCTGTGCTTCTGGCCACCTGTATGTGGCAGCCACTTCTATTAGCAGTTGATAGACTTGTAGACACCCCCCTGATTTCTGACTTCCCTGAGTCTCCCTCCTACTTTATCAAGTCCCCATGTGACAACTAGCCACCTGTAAAGCAAAGGCTGACTACCCACTGGTTTGATGCCATAGCTGTAACACATGCTGGGTTACCCAACAGTTATTCTAGGAAAGCAGCTCTAGCTCAACCAGGAGATGCTGGGCTGCTGCCAAGCCAGGGAAACAGGGTTGACTGACCAGGATGCAGCCACTTGACTGACCAGGATGCAGGCAAAAAGGATGACAGAGGTGCTGAAAAGGAGAAAAGAGATGTACCAGAGGAAAATACTGGGTCCAGAAGGCCATAGGTAATGTTCTTTAAGAGGACAGCAGAGAGAACAGTAGGAAATTAATTACTGGAGGAGGCTTTTCTTCCTATGGGTCTGTACAGAGTACAGGAATACAAAAAAATTCCTAAATCTCAACTTTTAAAGCATGCCAGAATGAGTAACTGCAGTACATACACACTGTGGGCCAAACTCTGTGACAGGCATCTGCACATTAAGGAGTGATTTGCAATCAGTTGTATGAGCCACAGGCCTTGGCGTTAATAAGCATTAGTAAGTGGAGCGAGATCCTTCTCCATGGATGGCTTCAAGTGTTACTTTGAAGAGTGCTGTTGTAGTGGAGCAATTAGTTCAGAACAAGTCATTGGAGACAGACAAGTGGAAAAGCTGAGAATAGGTGGCTTGGGAATGAGCAGGAGAGTGGCTCTGTAATCATCCCCATCCATGAGGGATGAGGACCCTGAATAGCTGGGGAAATCTGTGATCACAGGGCTGCCCAACACCCATCTTTGCATGTATAAGCTGAGCATTGCATGGAGTATACCTATTGGTGACTGTTAGTGCCACATGTTTTGTTTTTTTTTTTTTTTTCTTCTATAAAACCCATAGAAGTAGAGAAAGCAGAAGCCTTGTAGTAAATTTTTCTATTCATAAAAGGGGCTGTTGCCTTATGGGAGGATACCATGAATAAAATGGGGGCTGAAGCAGAAGGTAGAGACCCCATCCAAGAGGCACCTCTAACATGCATGCACGAAGAGGCTTGTGCAACCTCAGGATCCAGAGCCTCAAGCTCTCTTCTGAACATGGGCACTTCTGTCTGGGAACTGAACTAGGTTTGGTCAGTTCTTTTAAAATGCTTTTTTGGAATGCTTTGAGAAAATACTGTAATGGTTGAAGCACTCATCCACAGAGAGGGAGACCTAAGCAAAAGTCAATTCTCCAGCTGAGGGTCTCAGCTCCTCAGTCTGTGTCCCCAAGGTGCTCCAATGATAAGCCATGAGCATGACCCTCCTGCAAGATTCCTCTTTAAAAACTATGACACTGCACAGAAAAGAGGTCAAGACTTCTGTGTCAGAAAGCAAAAAGAGGGCACAAAAGAGAAGACCCTGCCACATGAGCTCACTTTCCAGGTACAGAAATCCTGAGCACACAGACTTCCTTCAATCCATCCTGTCCAAGGCCTAATTCCACTGGAAAGAGGGACATTCCTCCACTAAAGATGGAATGTAGTTTTGAATTCCCTCAGACTGGGTCTGACACTAGAAGTGTCCCACTTGCTGTGTGTATTCTCTAATCATGGACAGCTTCATTTATGAAGAACAGAAACACAGATCAATCTGGCTGGTACTGCAAATGGGCTTCAGCCAAATGCATACCAGGTTCGATCCAACATGGAACTACTCTGTTTTCTAAACAGGCAATATGCTCGAGAAGATCAACAGTTTTTGCTAATGGTACTTGGTAATTAACTCACAGAGATGCGATGGTCTGTTTCCTTCATCTCCAGTTGGGCACATACATTTTGGCTTAAGTTTGTTGAAAATTTTTAGATTTATATGCCCTCCTTCCCAAATGTTTAATTTCATGGATTTTAACTGCAATTGGTGCACTGTGACTATGTGGAATTTAGCACACTGTGGCATCAAGCACCACCTATAAGCAACATGTCCTGAGCATGGAACACACAACTCTCTTCAAACTGAGTTAAATTTGTGTCTAATATTTCCTCGTATCTATTTTGCAATATTCCTGTCCTTGATTTTCCCTTTCATTTTCCTTTTAAACTTTTTTGAATTACTTCTCTCAGTCTGACTACTAGTATTCGTATAAAGAATTCAATTATTAACTGAAACTCAGAGACTGAAAGAATGTTATTCTGCTTATCTTCTATAAAATGATACTTTCCAATAAAAATTGAACAAAGAACATGCTGACACATACTTCACACAAATAAGCATTTTCTCTTCATTATAAAAACTTAGAATGAGGTGCTAAGAATATTTTGATATTATAACTCAGAAGTTGACATTTTCATAAACTAGGTTTCATAAATCCATGGTTTATATTATATTTACATAAATGCATATAAAATATTTTACAAATGAAAATATATAAATTAGGTAACCCAAAACCTTGATATGTTTTAATTTCAACCAAAATACCCTAAGATTTCACAGTGCTGCAAAAACTTCACTGCAAACATGCATCCTCTCAATGGCATGAATGTTTTGAAGACATCCTTCAAAAGATAAAAGGATAAAAAGAAATACTGTACCAGTTGGATCAAAGTCTGGAAAATAATCCGGACAATTCTGAGCAGTGATCCTTCCAGCAGGTGTATCATCCCAGCACAACCAGCCATCCCACGTTCGGTTGCAGAACAGACCTGGACATTTAAGAGGGTTTCAGGAGTTAATTCAACACACGGTCACTCCTGAACTGTTCTTTTCTAGCCTCTCGGGGAATATTGCTGCCTGCAGACAATCAGGTTTTCTTTTTGTAATAAATTCCTTTATTATTGTTACACTTAGAGTGGCATTCAGGGGCTACAAGGAACTTGTTTTTGCTGACCTGATGTTAGTTGTGTTCATTTTACTGGAAAGTTATGTTTTAAATCCTGTTGAATTGAGCTTTGAATGTAGCTTTTGATCCTAAAAATTTGTCTTCTTGATCCTCCTTCTGTCCCCAGCTGTAAGCACCTACACTAGTGGTAACCAAAGATCTATTAGGCACCCACTTTTCATTTCACCTTCTGCTGTTCAGTAGGTCTGAAAATTGGGTCTTTGAAACGTAAAGGTAAGGAAGAGTTCGTGGGGACATCCCACTAAAAGCAACATTTGCAGAGACAATGTAATTGTCTCTTACAATGTAATTGTAATTGTAAATGTAATTGTAAGGCTGTTGCCTTTTTCAGCACCAGAGATCAGTACCTACATGTCCAGTGAAGCAGATGCAAGACTGATCTGTAACAGGCAGACTCTGCCTGCTGATGTTGCCTAGGTAGGCGTGCTGTGATCCTGTCCTCATCATGCATCTTCTGGGAAGGTAGTGCAGTCGAGGCTGTGTCGCTTACAAGGGATACTTCCACCCCCACAAGCAGCAGCAAAGTGAGAGAGGCAGAACACAGCTCATTCTTGATCCCCAACAGAGATGATACCTACTATGGTCCTCAGAAACTGTGCTGTAAGACTGCTTGCTGTAATGTGTAACATGACTCATTGTGGACTTATAAAAGAAATGTATTAAAAAATCCCCTACACTTCTTAGTTATTTTCAATTTAAAATCAGTTTGTGGTGTGGGAAAAGGTATTCATCATCATGACCATCAGGTTAAAGGGAAATAGAATGAGAAGGTACATCTTGGCTTTTTTGCTCTGGTCCTGAGGAAGTGTCAGAATGGTTGCTATGACTATGTAGGTTGATTTTTGAAGAATTATTTAGAAGGTACCTCTGAAAGTTAATAAAATATGGCTAGCTAATTGCTTCTGGTGGTTTAGAAACTATCCATAGATAAGCTTTCTTACTAAAGCAAAAAGGCTGTAAAAAGTCATCTGAATTGTTCAAATTTGCACCAATAAATGTTTATAAGTCAAAATAGCTGTGGATTAAAAACTGAAAGCATAAATAATTCTAAATTAATATTTTCCAGATTAGATGTTGTTCAGAAAAGACATTTTTATACATACTTTTACCTAATTTTCTAAGATTTTATGCACATACATGTTTCTGTTATCAAGCTAAATATGCTAATGCTATTTTTCACTTAAATAACCAATCATGGTATCAACACCTGGTTATCTTTCCTTCAGGTACTGTCATGTTTTTCTATAGCTTTGAAATGTATCTGAAAGACTTTGAGGAGTATTCTTGTAATAATGAAGAAAAACAAGAGTAAAAACTGTTTGCAACTTGAGCTTGTATTTGAAAGACAGTGTTGAAAGGGGTTGGAGGGAATTTCTATCTTTAAATCCTCTGTCTTGCCTGATAAATAAAAAAAATAGCACATGTAAATCTATACATTGTGGACTGTGTCTTTCAAGGTAACTAACAGGATATATATGTATACATACATATATATATATATGGATATATGTATGCATATATATGTATATATACATATACACACACACACACACACATATATATATATACACCGTGTATATGTGTATATATATATATATATATATATACATGGTGCTGTCCTGGAGGGGTGGTCAGGTGTTTCCATGTGCCTGAGCCCCTCGTTTTATTATTTTTTCAGCTAAAATGCAACTTTAGTAGTGCTGGCATCATTCCTTCATCACCCATTATCTTCATTTTGGGGTTATAAATGAATTAAGTGCATGTTGCTATGAACATAACAGTCCCTAATGGCATAAATTAAAATCTAGCTGCCAGTTGAAGGATTGCAGGAACTGCCACTGCTGTCCTCCTGGGACAATGCTGCCCTTGAGAACACTACTAGGAATTCATGTCATCACATGAAATCCCAGTTCATGCTGGAAAAACAGCCTTTGCAACTAATCACACAAACAAGGTGCAGAAGAAATGGGAATCCAGTGGAACTGTCAATGGATGCAAAAATTACTTGTTTATAGAGCTGGAGACTAAAAGAGTAATCTGAGAAGAAGATGGCAAGTTATTTCCACCATAAGTCCAGCAACTAAAAGGCTTGTTTATGTCTGAAACATCATGCTTTATATTCCATAACCCTATATAACTACTTGTGGGTTTTCCCCATCATCAGCCTGAATTAAAACCTATTTTTAGCAAAGTCAATCTCTATATTCATTCCCAAACATTTCTACATCAAGACTTGAGTATCTTAACATCTAACTGTTGCTTGAGTCTTACAGAGCTCAGTAAAACCTTTGTGATAAAGAGCTATAGAAATGTCTTTGTTCTTGTATTACGCAAAGTCCCACTTTGTCTCCAATCCATGTATTAGGTTGGGTGTTTTTATTAGTGGGGTTTTTTTATGTGTTTTCTCTTTAAACTATGTCCTCAATATCTCTGTTCTTTACTTGCATGAGTCTTCACAACTCCTCTGTTATTTTTTTTCTCTAGCCTCCTCATATCTTCTATATCTTCTATAAGAAAAAGTGACCAGAACACTGAGTCCCAACCAGAAATCCTGCTTTATACTATGTAACTGTAGCACCACTGTTTTTTGTCATTTCTCTTTTTATCACCCTTCACATATGCCTCATATTTAGTAAAGATGAGTGCTCAGTGCCTTATAAACCTATTTTTGCTAGTGTTACTGTTGAATATGGAATGTCTGGAACTTCTGTGTTGGTACAGAGCATGACAACCAGCAGACAATACACAAATGACAAAAAATTGAAACAGAGAGTAAAGCAAACAGAACAATATTTATATTTAAGAGATTCCCCATTCACAATCAGGTCTTTGTGTGAGCTTGCTGAGAGGTTCTGGAGAATGCCATTCTCTAAGCAAGAACAAGAGACATTCAAGCAGCAAAGCACTGAGCAAGAAACGTGGATAATGGAGGAAGGAAGCATTGTTCATTCCCTGGGCTCCTTCCAGGTTTTTTTATTTCTTTGCACTTAGGAGGATGTAAGTGTGGCTTTGATTACTGTTTGTGGGAAGGAAAGTGCACCCTGAGGAAGAGTATGGGTTAGTATATAGAAGAAAACGTTTCTTTATAGTTCTATAACCAAGCATGGCAAAATACAGACAGATTTTTTTTTTAAATCCTTTTTACCTTTTTTCTTGTATGGAGGAGCTCTGTTCATCCTCTCATAGCATTTGAACTGTGAATCTATTATCTTCTGTCGTATGACTGAATTTTCTGTTACTACAGGCTCTAATGTAGGATCAGTATAATTTACAGTAGAAGAAAGGCTTGGAACAATTCTCTGTACAGAAAGGAAAAACTGTTAGTACAACTGAATAAAACAGGAGGATAAAATTAAAAAAAAAAAAAAGTGGGGACCAGAAATATATTTTGCATTCTTGAAAGGCCTTTTATTTGCACCTGTTTAGTATTATGATGGGCCTTGTACTGCTTGCAAAGTAAATGCTGAATTTTATTAGTTTACCTCATTAAAACCACAAGATTTTAATCAAGCCCTTTTTCTTGGCAAAGAGAGGACCATTAAATATCTTGATAAAGCCTTCAAAATTTTTTTATTCAGTTTAGCATCTGCAAAAGAATTTTGTATCTTCCAAAAATTACACCCATGTATTTCTGCTCACTTGTGCCCATTTTTTTCCTGACTGCAGACAAAACACCTCAGTGCCACAGCCTGGAAACTGATTATTTCATGTTTTATGCCACCTGCTTTGAACTTCTTCAACTGCTAAGGTCATAGAAACAATGGGCAGAGTTTAAACCTCAATATCTGGCCTTAGTTCCTAGTTAAGTACCTAAATTTGAGTCCCTACATTTGAGTCTGAATAACAGGGTCCTCTTCAATCTAGTGGCATCTTCTGAATTCTCCCATTCTGAACCACCTGCAGTTTAAAGGGAAGGATCATTGCCTCTGGAAGGCAAAGTCAGTCATGGTTTTTTGCCATCCATCCGTCAGTTGTACAACTCAGGTCTGTGAGTGGAAATGAGAGTGTGGAGCTTTAGTTAGTTCTGTTCTGCCTCAATCCTATATCAGGAAACTTCTCTGCATGAAGGTGACAGGTAAAGTTAGTTCCTCTGCTTCCCCAAGAAAAAGAACATTGCTGTGGCACTTTCCTTGCATGATCCTCTATCTTCCCCTATACTAAACAGTACTAAAGCCATCACAAACACATACAGACTCATTTGCAGGCTTCAAAATCTAGGACTGTCATAAATATGCAAACGTTACCATTTTAGCAGCAAATGCCAGTACACAGATCTTTAAGCAAGCACTTGTAGATGTGCAAATTGAAAACATAACAGGTTTGAAAATTCAAATATCAGCTTACTTCTTACACTTTTCCTCCCCTTTTTTTAATTGCACATCACAGGCAACTGTATTGCATAAATACATTACCTTTTTTCCCCATTTGCACACTAAAACATCTTGGTAAAATACACAGTGAAACCACAGTGTTTGACTTGGTTGGAAAAAAAAAAAGCCATTACTTTTATCCTGATACAAACCATGTCAGAATATATACTCGTATATCTAATTATTTATATTTTCTTAATTTAATCTAATCTCTTTTGACACAAACATTTTCATTTTCAACTGTATACAGCTACTAGCTGGAAGATCTGGAGGCAGTTAATCTTGTTGCACTTGAACAGGTCCTTGAAATAAAATAGGAGGAATAAAAAGGAAGATATTTTCTGGCAGAAATAAATTTTATGTGTATGTATACCCCCCAAACAAATATATACTTGGACAATGAAGCCATTTGGAACATTTCATCTGGCCATCCAAGTGAAAAATTAAGTATTTAGAAAGCCAGAACAGGAAATAGAGAAGTGAAGCGAAACATCACAGATCCCTTACTTATAAAAAGATTAAAGTGAGTAGCTGAAGTTCATGAGAATCATTTTAAAAACCAGCCAAGCAATATCCTGAATCCAGTATGTAGTGTAGGAAAGCGCAGATGAGGTTCTTCAGACACCCTCATTTTTATCTTAGCCCTTCACGTCCATGTACCGTCACAGGCTCTGGTGCTTTCTTGAAGTGATTAATAGATACTCCATGCTAATTTTCCCCATTTTTATTTTGAATAGTACCTCAGTTCCAAGCTGTTTATATTAAAGAGAGGAATATCAGTATCATCAAAGAAAGCTAGGAGGACTTCTGTGGCATTGCCTCTGTTCTTGACAATTTCTCTGTTCCTCTGCGCCAGTTTGGGAACACAGCTATGTGTGGGGTGATAATTTTGGGGGGGTAAGACACAATTCAGAAACCAAAGACTGCCTGCTCTTAAAGGTCAGTTTAAGAGACTTGTTGTGTATAATTCCTGACGAAGTCAGCTCTTACTGGGTACAGTTTAATGCAAATATTTTGATACTTGAAGGCAAAGAGTACCTGTGGTGGTGGATAGACTAAATGTCTTGGATTGTGCACAGAATTATTTAAAAGTGCTCAACCATGTAACCAGGAGGCCCATTCTACTGCCTCTGTGCAAGGCAATCATGGCCCAGGTGAAATTGCCAGCAAAATTTCTACTGCCTACATTTAGGACAGGAATTCACTCAGAAAGATTAAAAATATGGATGACATTGTGTCACTAAAGTTCAATGGGACTTACTTCATCAGTGGAAATCACTTAATGGCCTATAGAAAAACTGAAGCTTAGATAAAAATTTGAATAATAACATTAAATTTACAGATTTTCAAAGTTAGTTGTCCAAATATCTTTCCGGGTACTTTTTATGAAATTAAATAGCTTGTGTGGGAAATCAAATTAAGGGGTCATACATAGGTATGTCACTGGTATTGTTCATCTGCAATATGCCCTTTAAATGTACTCTTCCCATTGATTGTTACTCCTCATTTCTGTTTGCCTAGAGCTGGCCTTGGAAGCTTGAACACCATTTTTTTCTACCTTAAGATCAGATTTCTATTTCAGCAGATTAATGAAATATTAATTTGGTGGTTTGCTGGAGGTTGAGAAGCCACATCCCTGTTTGAAATGCTGTTTTTTCTACCATGTGTAAGAGACACCACTCTAGGACCCAGAGCCCAAAGCCTGACCTCTTAAAGTCAGTTCAGTGGGCTGATGATCCAGCCTTATATTCCTGCAGTTAAGTCAGACAAAAATCTTGCTACAGTTTGTCATGTGAGATGCTGTTATTTGTTTTAGTCTTCCTGTACTCCTTATCATAGGGGTCAGAAAAGGGCAAATGGGTCAGAAAGACATCTCTGGGTCATTATTCTCTATCAGAAGTAGCAGGATTTTGGGCATGATTACATGGGAGGGAAAGCTTAGTGTGTACCATGTTATTGGGAGAGGCTGGGAGTGTACCATGAATCTGTGTGTCTATGTTTGTATCTGCTCTCAGGGAATTAATGATTGGAATCACCTCTGCTACTATATTTTAATTGTTATATCTATGCATTTTAGGAATTAAGATTTAAAACACATGTTTTCACCATAAAAAAGACAAGAGTAAGTAATTTTAACTTGGTAACTACCTACAGCATTGAACAGATTTTGAATGTCCAGAGTCCATTACTGCATATTAAAAAGCTTTCCCATCCATCCATCCATCCATCCATCCATCCATCCATCCATCCATCCATCCATCCATCCATCCATCCATCATCCATTATTTTAGGTGGAAATATAAATGATGTTGATGCAGTAAAGGAATGCCTCATTCATTTATAAATATTCTTTATTAAAGAGAAACAAATAATTCACAACTTAATAATTGATGTGCTCATTGCCTGAAAATGATTGGTATCATTTCTTCAGAAGAAAATTGTTTAAGTGATGTCCCATGCAGCAGTTTAGCAGCCGTACATATGATGTCACTCCTAAAAGTCCAAGTAAATGACGTCATACATACGACCACCAAGCCACCACGTGACAAATGACTGTTATAAGAAAACAAATTATCATTACAAGGAGAAAAAACAAGATTCTGATAATGCTGAAGTTCACTTTATACCTAGAATTAATAAAAGAATCTAGAGAAAGCAACTTGGCTTCATTATTAAATTATACAGGAACGAACAGATAGTGTCCTTGTTTCTGTAAGACAGACAACTGCTATTAACCTCTGCAACACTGTGCCCATTTCTGCAAGGGAGAATCCAGATAAAGCAAGCATAAAATTCCTTCACTTTTTTCCCCACAAAATATTGCATATGATGAACAAGTAACCCCAAATATTTTTCTTCTGCCATCAAGGAGCTTGCAGGACACTAACTGTAACAATAGATGACATTTAGGAAAAGAAGATATTTGTAGCTTTCTTTACTTTTGCTTTTTTCCTCCTTCCACTAAATACAGTAATTTAGTAACATTTATTGTTGAGTTCAGTCAAAATATAGCTCAAATTCTGTATGCTCCAACTCTTTGATATTGATTTCAATAGCTCAAATGTACAATTCTTTTAGAACTGCTATATGTAGTCACCACTTTGTGGATCACTAAGCTCCTGTTCTTCACTACATCACATCTTCGAGAGAGAGCTCAGCATGATTTAGACTGGTGGCAGAGCCTCTCATACTTTGACAATGTTTGAACTACTCTTCACAGCTGCTAGTGTTAGGACAGAGAAGAAAACAACTGTGATGCCTTAGGAAAGTCATTAGTGTATGGCACTCAGTAAATACAATAATTTCTATCCATCACAAATGTGCTAGGAAACAGCAGACAATTTCTTTGGGGAAATACCACAACATGACTTGCTTTACTTAACCATTGAATGTTAACATTTTCTCGTACTCTACTATGTTGGAGCAGGATGGTAATTATCTCGGTGGCACCCTATACAACTAACACGGCGGATTTTGGCAGCTGTTAAACAAGTACAAGATTAGCAGTCACAGTAAATGAAGATAAGGCAGTTGTAATGAAAAGCAACTCACAAATCTTACAGTTCTTTGCCATTGCTGCAGGATTTGCTCACATGAGGAAGCTTTACTTGCAGTTTATCCCGATGCAAGCTGTGGGCTTACAGAAAGGCTGCAGAATATTTAACAGATTTTTGCTTGCAGCCCTGATTATCATCTTGCAAGAGGCCTCTTTAGGGCAATCAGCTGCATAGCAACAGCCTTATTTTTTAAATAAGCAAAGATGTAGTCAAAATTTCCTGATCACCCCTGAAACTGGGTGAATAGAGCAGAATACAGCATTCCTTTCTCAGGAAACTGAGCAGCTTGAGTCTCAAATTCTCACATTAATTCTCATCACCTTAAAATACCAGTAGATTGCTTTCCAGAGTTTTCCTTGTGTGAGAACAGCTTCAGAACTTGCCAGTGTACTTACAGCTTGAAGCAACCCATGGTTACACAGGGAAATACTAACTCACATCAACAGCTTCCAAAGGCATGGTCTCAGGTGATAAGACCCAGGAGGACCTCATCATCCAAGGCTGGGGAAGCCCCTGGGCTCCCAGTGGTGCCAGACAGCAAAGCAAGTTCTGATGAAGGAAGATGAAGGAGGCTGTGACAGATCATCATCAGCTCTTCTGGCTCACTGGAGGGTAGGACCTGCTCTGGACCAGATGCTGGAAGAGTTGCTGTCTAAGCAGGAAAAGGCTTGTTCTTACAGTACCTGCACAGAAACGGGTTTTAGAGACTGGTGGTGAGAGCTGTGGAGCTGGGCAAGTGGCAGAAGGCCAGGGAAGCACATGGCCCCACCACCCCATGTGAGGATCAAACGTGTGGCAAGTGCTTCACTAATGGGTTCTGGAGATTTGAATTTACCATGCCACAACTGTATTCCAAAAAAACCAATTTGTGCAGTTACTGAAAATTACATTTAGGTTTTCATATAATTAATTTTCAATGTTTTGTGAATGGGAATTATTGCCAAGACTTAACAGGAGCTGGCAAGAAGCACCTGACTCTGTATAGCTTTGTGACTGAGGCTTGGAAACAATTTGACAGATTCGGACCTAATGAACTTGCACAATTTGTTTTTTACTCAAAATGAATTTATTTTCAAATACAATCTTGGTCTAATTGACCTAATTGAAAATAGTGTGTCCTTCAGCTGCAGCATCCATTTCGTCCTTACTGTGCACTTTGTGGATGGCTCCAGACACAAAATCAGAATATGTGAGAAAATTTTCTCCACCAATCCTCATTTCCAGAGTAAGAACAAACTATCATTTGTAGGCACTAAATGACAGTTCTTATTTGACAAAATAATGAAGAGAATACAAATCTCTTCCCTCAATGTCCTGCAAAATTGATTGGTCACACTGGAAAGAGACCCAAACCTGCTTCGTCTTCCTCATTCTCTGCAGTTTGATGCTGCTGGGCACACTGTGTTGATGCTCCATCTTTCTTGTGAAGAGAAATGCGCATTGAGGAGATCAACTAATTGCTCCAGCACAGAGGGGCTCATGTGTTTAAGGAAATAAATCTCAGTCACATTCTGTGGCTTTCAATAATTGCCAAAAACTAGAGAGCAACAGGCATAAAGTGAACTAAGACATAATGAACAGTTAAATTTTCTAATGATATTCCCTTGGAAGCGTAGAGAACTATCTGGTGATGCATTATCCTGCATCCAAAAGCAAGGGAATCCATCATAGAGGAAGATAATAGTTAGTTCTATTTCTAAATTAGATTTTGGAACAACTGTTGCTTCAGTTTTTGTTTGGCAAAAGCAAATCATTATAGACCTGTACACAGAAGTGCTATTTATTCTACACAAAAAATGACATACATAAGAGAGATGGTTTGTATCAGAAGGTACCAAAACCCCATGGTGACAAGTCTAAAGGAGATGGTGGGGAGGGCGTGTCTGTGCACATCAAGTAACTAAGGTCTATGACAAAACATTCAAGGAGAGATATGAGAAGAATCCAAGGAAGTCTTCTGCAAAGCACTAACACTGTATATAGGACATGGAGTGCTCCAACACTAAGAGTGTATTAGAGAATCACAGCTACCCTAAGAAAGGAGATTTCAGGTAAAAGTATGCCCTACTCAATAGTGGTGATCACTGCAGGTGGACAAATGGCACAAACAGAGAGACTGGAGCCCAGAGGAGAAACACAAGGACCCAAACAGGTTGTGTTGCTTTGCAACAGCTTGCAGTGACCAACTGGGAGTGCAGGACACAGATGAGAAGATGAATGAAAACCATCAAAGCCATCAAAGAATAAAGATCTGAAGGATGGTTTGTGGGGTGAGTAGAGAACAGGGGTGGAAGTTCAACCCAGTGTCAAAAAATCACTTTAATTATTATGTCTTCCTCAATCTCAGACAGCAGCTGACATGTCTCACAGGTCTTGGAACCAAGGAGTGAATAGAAGAACCAACAAAGTGGGAACAGTCTCTATGGAAGAGAAAGACACTCTTCATTCACTACAGACTACAAATAAAATGTAGAAAATGAATGTTTCCTATCAGCTACAGGTGGGGAAATCTTCGGGAAAATGACTGGTGGCAAATACTTTTCATATTTGATCTATCTAACAGCAGGGTTCTGGTAAGTGTCATCAAGGAAACAGAGCTTGTTCATGGTCTATTTCTATGACCGTGACTTCTCCCCTATCAAAAAGTAAATTAATCTAAGAGGTATTGAAGTAGGCCATAGCATGCCCACTGCAGTGGGAAAAGAAGGCACATCGAGATTGGAAGAGTGAAAATGAAGGAAGCTTGTGCTTAAGTTATCCATTGAGGTCAGAAGCTGAAGAGCCCTCTGGTGCAAAGATATTTAAAAAAAGGGGGATGCAGATCTCACTGAAGAATTTTTTAAAGAAATCCTAGCCCAGGAGTACTGCAGGAATGCGCACAGAACTAACGTTGCATACGTGCTACATGGGTGAGAGATTTAAAAGATTTGAGGACAACACAGCAAGGATTAGCCCAGTTCTTCTGGATTGACCTACAAATCCATACTGTAGGTTAAAGCACCTCAGGTGCTCAGAAATGCTGTTGGCAGTTTTAATTATCAGAATATTTACAGTCCTGTCACTTGACTGGAAAGAAATATAAACTCGAACTGTTTCTTTATTTGGCATTGGCTTGTTACAGGAAGAATTGCTTTTATGTCAAGGCCCCTGTCAAGGTGTGCAGATCAGCTGGGATTCAAACCCAGAGGGAAGCTGGTTTCTCTCAGGCTCTTTGTTATAGACATCTCTGACCATGGGTGATTTCCTAGCCAGTGCATTGCCACGTGCAGCCTTGCGGGATACATAGAACAGCCACAAGCGGTCACAAATACCAGAATACTCAGCATATTATGTGATTCTGTGAGGTACACAATCCAATAAACAATCCAGAGACTGCAGTTGCTAGTGTTATCCAATATGTCTCCTAGACCTGTCTCTACAACATGGAAGTTGTAGTTTGTCTCACACAACATCATCAAGGAAGTTTTCAAACACTTAAGTTTCTATGTCACTGCTATGTTGTAGCTTGTAAAACATAGAAATGGAAAGCCATACGCACAACCTTCTTCAGACAGACTGCAGTTCTGTCTCACCAGAAAACAATGATTTCAAGTCTGAACTTCTATGAGATAACTTATTTAGAAACTTTATTAAGCTTATTTTGAAATTTATCAGGAAGGTAACTCATTCCTTCACCTGTGCAGTATAACAAATACAACTCAGTACTCATTCTTCTGAACATCACTACAAGTTTTTGAATTTGGCAAGTGTTATGGGCACTTCTGTTTTCTCATACTTACAATTAGAAGGATGATCACTAAGAAGCAACACTGGGTTGTTTTTCTCATTGTGGAGTCTTCCTGGAGAGACACGTTGTAGCTGACCCTTCTGGGAATTAAACAACAAGAACAAAAGCAGTATTGGACTTTAGCTGTTATGATAAATTCCTTGTCTTTGCAGAAGAACATATTTTTAGACTTACAGTGGACCATCTGTGTGTATGCGCACCCCCAGCCTTACGCGTGCTCATGTTTTATCTAAGTGGAGGTTGGTACGCTTTTAATTTAGTCTCCTCTGTGGACCTCTGGTGGTGAGTACAGATGATGTGGGGTACAGATCCATGTTACTCTGTCACCAGCAGCAACTCTGGGTTAAGCTATGCATCTTTGCCAGCTGAGGCTACCTCGTTTATCCTGATTCAGGTGCTTCTAACATACACATAGGGCTGCAGACCTGGATATGTGCAGAATCTGGATATTTTAAACATGACCTACAAAACCCAGGTCCAGTTTGCTGATAAGTGGAATAGCAGCTCAAAAGGTATATTTTATGGGACTAGAGAAAGAGAGAGGTTGGGTAACCTCTAGCTAGATGAAGCAGGTGTGGCAGGAAAAGAGAGAGAAACTGGGAACAACACCGTGGGATTACACACTCCCTAATGCAGCCAGTTTGGCTGGGCTCCATATAGACACCACAGCAGTGGCCCTCAGGCCGTTGAAAATTACTGCTTCAGCACAAAGTACTGGAGAAGCGGAGCATGGACACGACACCACAGGCTTGAAGGGAACTGGATTGGCAGCTTTTGTGCTTTTCTATCTTTTTCCTAAATCAACACCCACCTGGCCTTTCTGGGAAAAATATCCAGGGGCCACCAGATATAATCATATTGCTTCACAGTTGTAGGAGGTTCAAGCAAGCAAAGACTTTTGCATTAACACATTATTTTAAGTCACAGTTTTTGTTAAAACACGTCATGCCTTCTGATATCCCACAGGCCACTAGTGGTGCTTGGGCTGAACAACAAACAACATGCGGCTGAGATCACCTGTCACAGTAACACAGTGGGCACTCACACATCTTCATTTTTCAGACAGCTGAAAAGCTAGGAGTAAGGTGTTTTTTACCTGGATAAACAATCCTGTGAGCACTCTACACATCTGAAACCCAAAAATTTAATGGGAAAAAGGCACACCAACTTGGATGCTTAGTCTACTTGACATATAGTGAACAACACAATCACTTGTGTAACATTTTTCTCAGCAACAGCTTTTCTCATCTTTAAATGATTTGGAAGGTCACTCATTTTCAGAGGGCAAAGGAAATATTGTCCTCATCTAACCCAGAAATCTGTAATCTCAAAATGTAATAAAGGTGTGGCACTTCCAGTTCAACATAACACAAGCGATCCAATAGGATTGTTGCAGTCGTGTCACGGAGATTACATAAACCACAAAGTGATAGAAAAGAGGGTTCAGAGGTTTTGCCTCTAATAAGAAGCAGCCTTATTACTGTTTGAATCTTGCCAGAACTATTCTTGTGCCAGTGGTAATGTGACATGTAAATGACATAGAAATAATATGCAATTATGCTGTCAGCCACAAACTTGCGTTTGATCATCAGTGGTAGACAACTCAATTGAAGCAAAAATTGGACAGCTAAATCAGAGAGCAAAACGCCTGGAATTGTCTGCATATTCTCCAGGCTATTCACTGCAGCGCGTATTGGTTCAAACTGCCAAAAAAATTAATGAAGAGCATATAAACAATGGCTCTTGGTCAGCTGTGCAGTGAGCAGATGTACAAGCATGAATACAGTGTTCATGGAGTTACTCACTGTACTGCAAAGTGCTCTGGAGTGTGGTGTAAAGCCAGTCTGGTGGGTGCCTCTATTCTTGCTAGCCTCATCACCTCTGCTGCATCTATAGGGATTTGGTATAAAGTAGGCAAAAGAAGGACTTTGCCTTACAAACTGTCAACAGCTTTAAAATACAAAATACTTTCCACAAATGGCAGAGATTTTGGCACAATATTGCAACCTAGAAAGCATAAACAAAACCAGTATCAATTAAAGGTGCCTGTGATACGTCTGCTTTTCCTGCACTTTGTGATGGCAGTGCTTGCAGCACTATGTTGGGTTACAGCTGTAGATACAGCTAAATCTTATCCTCACGGGATTTTGTGAACATTTGTTATTATGTACTGAAAGAGCTATTTAAACTGCTTCTTTCTCCTGTCTTTCCAACTAAAATAAAAAGCCATCTGTAGAGTATTTAACACATTATTTTCCCCTCTGTTAACTGTGATGATTGTGCCATATGATACTACATATGAGTAAATGAGTAAGAATTATTTCCCAAGCTAAATCTTATATAGTCTTGTTATTTCTAGTCTTTCTTCTTCTAGCCAACTCTAACCACAGGAATGGCTGACATGCCAGACAAAATCCAGCACCTTTTTTTCTTTCTCTTTCACAGGAGTCTTTTCCAGGGACAACAATTTCAGTAATTGCTGAATGACAATATTTTAACAATCAAACTATAAAGTCACTGACAAAGAAGTGGCTTTTCTCTACTTTTGCCATAAGACTGGCCCATAACACTACAGCACACTTGGGTTAGCATCGCTACTGGATCACGGATGATGATCTCATTGGCACTGGAAGGTACACGCAGATGCAAAGTGTTGGTCAATGGGCAGGGCAGAAACAAGAGGGAGGAAAAAAGACTCACACAAAAGGGAACCCGAAGAGACGGACCCTGTCAGCTTTGGGACAGAGGAACAGACCAGCATCTCCATGGCTCTGTCCCCATCTCCAGCAATCCAGGTTCAGGTGTGACATGACGTGCAAATTGCAATGTGCAAAGCAGTACACTCCACAGACCATATTTTGGGGTCTTTTGTGCTAGAACTATCACTTTTTAACACCAACTGACACTAATGCCCATAGGCAGCTGGCTTGCAGCTGAAGGAAGGCTAGAGCAGCCTCATGGAGATCGTAGCTGCACTGGAGCTGTGCCATCAGGAACACAGGGAGAAATCAGAAATGAGTCTGGTCCTTGGTGCCTACTGACACCATGATTCAACCACACAAGAGCTTCCATGACAATACTCATGGAAAGCATTTTCTCCATACCTTCTTCTGGCTGCTTGGTACCACCTGATTTGTGCTACCTCCACATCCACAGTACAGGGCCACACTATGAAGAAGTCAGGAAATTAGTTTTCAGCTACACAGTCTTTAAATAGAATACATATTTTACCATTAAAGAAGGAGAAACAATATGTCAAGCTGTTTTAAGCATAGGTGTTTTCAAGATGTTTCAAGGTATGCATGAGATTTTCCTGAGATGATGCTTATTACAATAAACAACAGGAATTACTGATAATGTACTGATAGTTCTTGGGATCACTGGAGCTTATATAAGAATGATTATTATGGGGATTTCATACAGTTTACAATGACCCCAAAATTTGTTTCATTTGGTGATGTTCCCAAGCAGGTCTTTTAGGTGCTTTGCTGATTTTCCTGTTCCTATACTATTTAGCCTTTTTTTGTAAGTCCAACAATGTCCTCCCTCCACGTTAAGATAATATAGCACGCTTTACGCATTTCAATTTTATAATATCCATATATAGGGATTAATCATGAGCACATTGCTAAAGCCCAGTACTTTTCCATGATTGTATTAATTCTTCACCCTCTGTTGCTTATAATAGTTACATACAACATCCCTGTCTGTTATTTAAACTAGAAAATTGTCCTTTCTTTCTTTGCAAATGTAGCATACCTCATTATGTGCTAAGGTATTTCTCCTGCTTCAGCTATTATAGTAATACCATTGACACTTTGGGATTAGTCCTGAAGCTTATTTGAAGATGAACACAGCATCCTACTTAGTAATGGCATCTCTTTTGTCTCTGTCCAGATCTCTACAGATGTAGTATTATGCTGACCAGGGCTTCAATTACAATTACCACTGGGTTACCCAGAAGGTGGGACAACCCTCCCTGCACAGCCATTTGGACAAGGCCAACCAGGGGAGTCAAATTTAGTCAAAAAGGAAGATGTAAGGGGGAAGATTTAAATGAGGGCAGTAGAGCAACATCTCCCTTCCAAGTTCTTTTTGGAGGAAGAACTGGAAAAAACTTCTTTAATTATTCTGCTCTGATAAATCTGCAGTGCCATCTTTCACAATAGTGCTGACATATCTTTGGAAGAACAAATGGTTTTTAAAATGGTGTTTGAAATGAGACTTTGAAGAGTTATTGTTAAGTACTGAAGTGTCATGTAAAAATCTCTTTCCCATTGTGTGGATCACACTCGGACACTTTGAAACTTCACTTGTGACCTCTTCATTCAGCTGCAAGTTCCTTAGAGGGTTTTCTTTCCACCTCATGCAGCTTTCTCAGAGTGAATAGCTGGGTACCCACCTCCAACCCCAAGGTGTCTGTGCCACCTTACCTAGATAAGGCTTGCAGACCCTCCTGGGAGGTGCCTTGCCAGTCAGCGCAGAAAGGCACCAACCTGCTCTGCCTGCATTGACACCGGACTGGGAAACACAGGGCAGACACATCTAAGCAAGACACAAGCAAGCTAGCAGATCTTGCTGCTGAGCATTTAAGGTATCTGGATCTAAGGAGGAGGTTGCGAGTCTGTTTGCATAGCCAAATGCACAGATAGTTTTGGGGAAAGTATTAAAATTGGCCCCTCACTCCCAGTGGGACATTTTACCTCGGGTTCCTAATTTTTAGGCTACTGCTGTGGACCAGGAATGAGCTGTACACTACACTTCCAAGGTCCTGTGCAGACCAGCACTGTAGTTGTAGTCCTGTTGGGCAGAGGAAATGCCATGAGTGTAATTCCCACACGTGAGAAGGGAATAGAGTCAGACCCGCCTATTTCCTTAGCATTTTCTTTAGCCGTTAACCTGCAATGGTCTTCAGGTGGTTTTAACTGGCACCAGGATCTTCGGGCATTTCCAATGGAAATAGTGAACTCTGCTCAATTCTTTCTAATATACCAGAAAACTGGTGACCATCAGTCCCAGGCAGAGACATGGACCTCCCTACAGCCTCCAGTCAAGCATCCAGGAACACAAGTCAGAAGAT